GTCTGACCCTTTAACTAACACCAAGAAACAAGCCCAAAACGGACTTGTTATGATCCACACTCCTCTCACAGTAAGTAATTCTGTGGTAATCACTGAAAAGAGAGTGTACATTGCAGTGGTGTATCCATAAATTTTTCTTTTCCGTAGCAAGAGGAGTTACCCTTGGCTTCCTACCTTATGCTACAATGCACCAACCTCTCTGCCGCATTTTATCGAACATTTAAAAAGAAAACATTTGGCAATTTCATGTGTAGCAACCATGGCTAGTGAGAACAAGGCCGTGCTGTGGATCCGTAAGTGTACATCCAGTCTTTGATGGTAGTTGGACCAGAAAAGGCTTTGGGTTGGGTTGCAGACCAAAATCAACCAAGCAGCTCAGCCCATGGGCTGCCCAAACCAACCAAAGTTGAAGTCAGATTAGACCAATGACCCATCAATGCTTGTCGGCGATGCCACGTTGTGTCGATTACATGTTAGTGAGTTGTTATTTCTGATCACCTCTCCATGCACAAAAGGGTTCCGCATGTAGATAATGTTTTTCCATATATGCTAATAAGCTACTGCACAAATACCAAACTTCCATGATCGCTTTAGTCATATGTCTTCCCTTGTGCAAAATGTGCTTTTCTTTGCCTTTTTCATGCACCAAATTAAGCTCACATGTATTTTGGAGCAATATACATTGCTCTATTAATTCATCTTAACAAGGGGGATGGATGATGAAAACTTTAGATTTATGTGAAGTGAAGTGAAGTGAGTGCACAACCCATATCCTTCATCACATCATAATTTTCTGACTTTATATCAAATTGAACTATGAAAACCATGCCCATCCATAACCCATCTTTCTAAGTATTGCATTTCATGTTTAGGGCATACCATTTAAGCATCTCTCTATTCTATCTCATGCATTTTTCTATTTCATTGATCGATCATCAAATTCAAATCCCCTTGATGCGTTATATATGCATGATGTGCTCAGTTGAGGTGATGAGTTTACTTTTGTTAACATATTGCTTCTCAAGTAGTAAAAAATGTTTTAATGGAAATGCTTTTAATCTTGTAAGTCACAGACTCACAGGAGGTGCGTGCTTGCCCATCGCATGTCCTTAAAGCAAAGCTTGTCTACGTTTTTTGTTATATTGGGCACTTGAAAAGACTAGAAATGTATATCGCGATCAAGTCAGTTCGTTTCGTTTATTTACATCACGATTTGAAGGGAAAGAATCACCAATTTTGGGGCCGTGCGACTAATAACAAGGCATGACATTCCATGAAAGTTAAGAATACATGCATAGTTGAAAGAAAATGTAATCAAGAAAAAACCCTATTAACAACATGACCTAGATTTTCATGTGAATGATTTATAATAAATTGACTCTGCTTGTTACATCTTACAAGCAATCTCATCTTTTATATACAGAACCAAACCATACAAGTATCATCAGTCAGTAAGAGGTGTGATTAGCAATATGATTTACAAATAGTTACGTTGGTTTTTATTACTCTATTTTGCTCGAAAGAGGTTGTGGTCAAAAGTCTATGGCACTCTGATCTTCATGATCTTTTGACCCAAGAGATCCACCCCTATGGTATATATGGCACTTAAAAGACCAAGTAATGTGGACAATCTAGCAGATGAGAGATTTTGTCCACTAGGATTTCCAGAGCTGCTGCCATCACAGTTAGTGGTTTAATAGACATGAGAGTTTGTTGACTAATAGAACAAAGAGGAATTAGTGCTACACTTAAAGTAAGAAATGTCGAACTCGTGGGCCCTCCAAGGATTTTTTTTCCCTAAGATCCCCAATCTCGCTTAATTTTCTATTGACCAATGTTTGGCATATGGATTTTTTTTCTTTCTCTAAACTACTATAATTTATGGTGAGGGGTACTCGAATTCGGGTGTAAGAGAGCCAGCTTTACATGTTTGGCATGGAATTAAGGTCGAATCCCTTTAACTTGTAATTATGTCATTATTTTTTCAAGAACTATATGGTCTTTAATTTGTCAGCCATATATGATGATCCTATCGGCCATATATATATATAAATGCGGGGGCAGGGAAAGTGGGATTAATTCAAATGTCAACTACGGTGCTTCAAGTAATGTAGAATAATTGCATATATTTGCTTAAGCTTTTAGACATGATATCTTCTTTTGATTCGTTCAATTTTGAAGGGTCTAATTGGAGGTTAGAACATAGTTGATGATTTGATGGAAAATACCTACAACATGCAATCTGTCACTCATGGCGGGGCGAGTGAGAATAGTGTTTGTTGTTTGAGTTCTGCCCAACAAAGCCTGCGAGCTTGGGACCAAAGAAAGTGTGTTTTTCCAACAAAGCTCGCAAAAACTACGAGATAGAGCGTTGGATATTCCATCCTTTCCCCCTAACAAGTAACAACCACCCCATGAGATTTGTTGAATATTGAAGGTAATGAATCCCATCCTAGAACATTCATATGTGCGGACATGAAAGAAAAAGGTGATTTAAAAGCAATCTGTCGACAAAGAAGAATATTATTGAAGGTGGGTGTAATAATTATGAATGGAAGAAGGATCGCTTTGGTCATTTGGTGTAACTAGACGCACATGCAGGGTTCCATGCAAGTGTCACTTGGATAATTAATTTCATAGAGGTAGTGATGATTCTTAATAACAATTAATTTGACAATAAGACAAGTGTTTGGAGAGAGAGAGAAAGAGTTTCATAGAGGTAGTGATGATTCTTAATATCAATTAATTTGATAATAAGACAAGTGTTTTGAGAGAGAGAGAAGTTATAGTCGTGTCGTGAATATATTGTTATAAGCTTTAATAATTAAAATCTATATGTATCACATTTATTCATCACATTATCATAAGCAAGTCTTATTACTATAAGAGAGGTCAGTTAATATGAACAGTCTCCGGCTAATGTCTATTTAGAAGAGTAGCCAAACATGGGAATTTCTAAAGTATGGATGAGATGAAAGTTTGAAAAGGAAAATATTGTTGGACATCTTGCATTTTCCCCAGAAAGAAAAACTCTAGGTAAAACTGTTTGATAGAAAGTTTGAAACGGTTTAGAGAGATCAAACAAATAAGTCTTAATGTACAATGTTATTGGAACTTTTGGTCAAGAGGACCAAAAAGTCATTTCCGAACAGTTACATGCAAAAAGAGCAAGAATCATATGAAAGATGGCAATTAGGACGTGGCTGCTGCTAGCTAGCTACAGAGCTTTTCAGCACCATATTCATAATCATTTTAATTTTTAAGTATTATCTTTTAAAGATCGGCGATAGTATTTTATTAATAAGATAAACAAAAACAAATACAAGTACTTTAAAAGCAACGAATGTGCCGAATATAAATACAACTTCTCTACTGACCAAACTCAACAAGTAGCTTATCTTTTAATCAGCTAAGTTTGTTAATTTCCTGAGCTAGTGATCAAACCTAGGGTTTTTTGCAACAGAAGAAAATGAGAGAGATGATACAGAAAGGAGGGTTGGTTGTAGCAACTTTACTGAACAAGGTGTGTGCTTCAAAAAGAAACGTGGGGGTTTGGCTTGTTTGGTCCGCTTCCCTCTTATGGGTTTTTTGGTTATATCGAAGAATCTTTAAAAAAGCATGTGATGTAAAAGAAAAGGCTTCCATCGCTACCTAAATTTTCTATATACTCTCTAGGTAACACATGTGCACATGAAGGCGACCTTGTGCCCAAATTTATTTCAAAGGGGCCATGCGATCGATAGAGGATTGAAGAAGAAAGTGACCTAATATATACAAACAATTCATCAAGAAGGTTTTACGACGTTTCCTTCAAGAATTCTAATTAGAGTTATTAACTAACTAAAAGTTCCTTGATGAATAGATGTATCAGTTTTGTGCCTAATTCGATTAGGCGCTTATGAGATATATAGGAAAGATATTCATGTAGGTGGTTTGATACAAGTTATGATGTGTAAGTTAAATATAGGGTTCGTAACACAACATAAAATATACGGTGATACGCTTGTAGGTTTACGTTTAGAATGTTTCAAACTTTTAGTTAGTTACAAAATGCAAATTACTAAATTAATCTTAATTTAACAGTATGATTCGTTTGCTAACAATTTGCTTGAAAATCAGAGTACTCTTCAGTGCACAGAAGCTGGAAAAGTAGACAGCACACCAAAGAGGATAGGAACTCAGCAATTGTGACACTGACCAATAATGAACATATTTTAGTACAAATACAAAAGACTTGAAAGTAAAATTGAAGATAATAATAATCAGAATGTAAAATGATAACGACAGCGACCAAATTTCCTCATGTGAAGAAAGAACGAATCGACTAGTACTTGGTTTTTATTAAAAGTGGTGGTGGATGTGTTCTCGTTTATTTTGAAAACTGACAAAATATGGTTAAAACAATAGGAGCGTGGGCATGACGGCATGAGGGGCTTGAGGCCACTGCTCAAATATATCACACGGTTTAAACATGCCTTCTTGATCCCTCTCTGCTAGGGACCATTACCAATATTTGTGTACGTTAAAATGCCCTAAGGTTGAGGGGTAAATTACTCTGTAAAATGCGTTGAAGCGACTATGATAGTGGGTTTGTTTAAAAGCTTTTTCTATCTTAATTAATCACAACAGAGTTACACTTTATGAAGTCGTAAATTGGTATCCGCGGATTCTGCGGTACCAACCAATCACTCTCGTATTATTAATTTGTAAGTAGAAACTTATAATTTTTTAGTACAAACGATAATCTAAATTTTTCTAAATTAATTTAATTTACGAAGAGAAAAACTCGAACGTGAGTGTAACCGGTTATGCTGACAATCCTGGCCAACTGGTCGTACGTCTGCATTGGAAGGCTGTAGCTTTAAATAGACAGCTATAGGTAACTAACTTCCACGGAACAAAAGAAACTTAACAAACCCCCACCAGTCCTACACTACACCCATATATCCTTATAAAAGCGTTGCACGTTCATTAATTTCCCAACACACACACCCCTCTCTCTCTCTCTCTCTCTCTCTCTCTCTCTCTCTTAGCAGAGGAAATTAAACAAAGCAAGCTAGAAACAAAGCAAAAGGAAACAAAGATATAATGGTTGAAGCAGCAGAGCAATCCCGAAAGTACCCGACAATGCCAGAGGTACAAAATCTCACTAAACATTATTCGCAGAATCTTCTTGATCTTTTCCAATTCATTTGAACTCTTGGGAATTTCCATTTTCATTATGATTGATATTTTTCCAATTTTTAACATCCTTTTAGGTGGTGGAAGAACTCAAGAGAATGACGGATATTGGCTTCCCCATTGCGGCCATGAGCTTAGTGGGCTACCTCAAAAACATGGTCCTAGTTGTATGCATGGGAAGGCTAGGAAGTCTTGAGCTAGCTGGTGGGGCTTTAGCCATTGGCTTCACCAACATCACTGGCTACTCGGTCCTTTCTGGCTTGGCCATGGGTATGGAGCCCCTATGTAGCCAAGCATTTGGCTCACAAAACTTCTCTATAGCATTCCTCACTTTAAAAAGAACCATTCTCTTATTACTTCTCACTTCTCTTCCTATTGCTCTCCTTTGGGCCAATCTTGAACCTCTCATGCTCCTCCTCCATCAGAACCCTGATATCACAAGAATTGCAAGCTTGTATTGCCAATTTGCCATCCCTGATCTAATAGCTAATAGCCTTCTCCACCCTATACGCATTTTTTTACGTAGTCAAAGCACAACATGGCCATTAATGTGGTGTACTTTACTAGCAATTGTCCTACACCTTCCCCTCACCATCTTCTTAACCTTCACTCTTTCTCTTGGGGTCAAAGGGATAGCTATTTCTAGTTCTCTCTCCAACTTCATCACTCTCTTCTTCTTTTTGGGTTACATGGTCTATGCTCATGTCCTAAAAGAGCGTAAGTATTGTTGGCTATTGTCCACTACAAATTCTGAACCAGCACCGATATTGTCCCAACCAATATTACCCAAAAATTTGGTACCGACCGAGCTAGGGGCTGATCAATGGAGGATGCTAATTCGACTCTCTATACAAAGTTGCCTAGCAGTTTGTTTAGAATGGTGGTGGTACGAGTTCATGACACTTCTAGCCGGTTACCTTCACAAACCTCACATTGCCCTTGCAACGTCAGCCATAGTGATACAAACCACATCTCTCATGTACACCTTGCCAACATCACTAAGTGCATCGGTGTCAACACGAGTAGGCAACGAACTCGGGGCGGGCCAACCAAAAAAGGCACGTTTGGCGGCAGTGGTGGCGGTGGGGATGGCCCTAGTGAGCTCATTGTTGGGCTTGTCGTTGACCACCTTAGGAAGAGAGACATGGGGGAGAATCTTTACTAAGGATGGTGAGGTTTTGGAGCTGACCATGGCTGTGCTGCCCATAATCGGACTATGTGAGCTTGCTAATTGTCCACAAACTACAAGTTGTGGGATTTTGAGAGGAAGTGCTAGGCCGGGTATCGGGGCATGGATTAACTTTTACTCATTTTACATGGTGGGTGCTCCTGTGGCAATAGTCATGGCGTTTGTTTGGAGACTAGGGTTTCAAGGGCTTTGTTATGGACTTCTAGCGGCTCAAATCACATGTGTGATTTCCATATTAACAGTGGTACACAAGACAGATTGGGAGAGAGAATGGCTCAAAGAGTAGAGAGTTTGTGGGAAGGAGTAAGAGCAGAGTGGCTGCATTTCCACATGCAGATGAAACAGTCAAATGTGAAGAGGGTACGTTGCAAAATTAGAACATTTTGAAAGGTGAAAGGAATTCGTGGAAAACCGAACAGTCGGGTTGAATGTGAAGAGGCTAGCTCCATGTTGAAGTTTCTAAGAGAAAAAAGCAGAATCTTGAAAAAAGTGATGAAAATGATTTTGATGAGGAAAGAAATTAGTAATTTACATTAATTCTGATTTGAATAGGACGACCTCAAATTTATATTTCCATTCCATTGGCCCACATATGTAATATTAGATCTACTTTTTGTCCAACTATATATATATATATATATATATTCTTGTATTAGTCTTCACATATATGTTAGAAAATTTGCATGCATGTATACGTCATTTTTTTTATGACCTTCTTTGTTGAGAGGGCAATAATATATTAAATTCATACATACTATATAGATACTAGAACTCGAACTCAAGACCTTACCTAAAAGAACAATTACTCTAAACTACTATACTAATAAGTCTTTTGCTATGTATATATACCTTATCTTATTTGATGAACTTATAACTAGCATATGCTAAAATACATACATCCAAAGTCATACTTGGACTCTCTTCTTCGTTTAATTAATATTGATAGGTCTCTTGCGTAAGTTATACGACGAAGATGACTGAGACTAATTTTTGAATTGCTGAATACTAGTTGGCTAGGCTAAAAGCTACATGTGATGTGACACATAATATGGATTAATTAGTTCCAATTAATATATATACACGTCTGTGTGTTGCTACCATTTGAAGACTCTCCCTCTGAAAAGTCTAAAATATAAGTGTTTTTTTTTTAAGTGAAAGGTATTCATAGGTTGAATGTTGGAAGTTTTTGTTACTCTTACTTACCAAGTATTTGTCGTTACTTAGCATATAAATATATATATTGTTGTAAAATAGATAGAATACGCGAATACCGCTGAATATTAAGTGAAATTGTACTTGCTCTTGTGGTATTACACCGATGGGACTTTTTCTTTAAAAATGAAGATGTTAATGTTTGCAGAAGAAATAGAGATGACCCACAAAATTACTATTACACTTACATCTAAAATATTTTAAAATAAGCAAATGACTCACTAGTTTAGTAGTTTGTGCTAAAATATGAAATCTAATATGAGAATATTTGTTTGTGGGAATTTTATGTGTATTATTCTTCTTGTAATATGTCATATTTATAATACAACGAAACCTAAATGGGCAAGTAAATAATAAATTCTTAAATCTATTTACAGTAGGAAATTAAGAATTAAAGTAAATCAAATATAATTATAATGGGAATCCTTGGTATGTAAGGAAAGAAAGTCAATGGTCCACAAGTCATGCCAATAATTTGGAGTATTTACTCCCTCAGGCAAGGTTCTGGGTTCGAGTCCTAGCATCTGTGTAGTGTGTGAGTTTAGTAAACTATCGCCTATCTCAATAGAAAATATCCTAAAAATATAAATAAATAAAACTTTAAAATAAGAGATATTATTGGAATTCTATGAAAGAGTCTCCGACCCAAGAGAAGCAATACATGTATGCTTGACTCATATATATGTATTTGTTATAAATATGTGGATATCCCATAACTTAGGATGAAGACTTTGTCACTGGTTTTTTTTGGACGAATGACTTTCTCACTGGTTGGTCTGGCTCGTGATGTTGAAGCCTGCTTCTTCTGTGCCCGGGCTCCAGACACATCAAATTGACCCAGCTGGTCATTGCTGGTTCACTGGTTCTAGACTTCATGGGATTAATTTTTCTTTTCATAAATTTTTTAAAGACTAATTGTAAAGTGTCGACATAATTAAAGAGATATAAAATGTCACGCCCTTGGAGAGGCTGGAGTTGAATCCAAGGGTTTACGGGTGGTCTGAAAACTCCGACATTTCGATCTGGTTACAGAGAAAGTTCGGGCATATAATTATGAATCAAGATCAAGATGTGTGCGGTTTAATGTAAAAAGGTCCAGCCGATATGACAAAAACTAGCCAATTTTAAATGGTTGTTTTGTTCATACCTTGTTTTTTCCTTTTCTGGTCAATGGTTCATACTTCAATTAATGCTCGAGCAATTAGTCTAATCAATCTAGCATTAGACTAATTGAATCGATTGACTATGCAAGGTTAGCATTTGTCCTCTGAAAAGGAAAGGGCGACTTCAGGAGTTGTTGGCTTTGTAATACAATTAAAGACCAACAACTCTCGAGTTTGACTGACACCGAATCATCTATTTCTTATCCGAAGATGTCCATATTATAAAGTCATAAAAGCTAATGTCCTAAACGCGAGACGCGTTATGCTGCAAAAGCTCCAATGTGATCTTTCTTCCTATAATTCTTTGACCATAAGATGTTTTTTTTTCCATCTCTCCGAAAACTTTTACTCGTTACTTGAGACATTCGAACTTCAAATTGTTGTCATTTTTAAGGCCTCTTTCCTCTGCCCTTGAAGTTTGATTAGTTTGGGCTTTTAATCTGCCTAGTCCAATCAGCAAAACACATCCGGCCCTGTAAAAAGAGATGGGCTTAATTAGCATCTTATTCACAATTGTCAACCAATATCTCTGCATAATATTATATTATAGAGTCATTCTATAGTGCGGGTCTTATATACCGCCTTTAATGGAGGTCGTATCTCTTAATAGTTGGATTAAGATTCTTGAATGACTTCTCAACATTTTCTTTTAGAATTATTCCTTTTTATGCTGGCTATACCTATCCAGTCTCCTCAACCGGATACTACATTCATGTCAATGACAGTATACCATATGTGCAGAAGTTTTTCTGTTTGTTATACTAAATTAAATTATAACTATTGCTTTTCTCCTTTTTCAGTTAAGGGCTGGGCAGGCAAACTGATGAAGACGATGGTGACTGCTTACAGTGCTCTGGTTTCTTTCTTGTATCAATGGGGACCATAATAAATTAAGGTTCATTGAAACCAAACCACCATGGCATGGGGATGGGGTTCGTTTTACGTCAGTTGGACTTGATGTGATCTTGCGCCCACATCTAATTAAACATAAATGGGGAGTTAAGATGAATATTGTAACCATTGATGCCTTCCCTGCAGATGTAGGAATTTATATGAAAGCCAGTTTACGAAAAAGAGAAAAAGGAAGATGCAAAACCCTAGCTGTATATTAATTTCATTGCATTAGAAAAGAAAGATTTTATATGCCAACGAGTTATTTAATATTTGATCATAATGACAACATTCAAAATATTTAGCGAAAGAGAAAAGGAGCATCATTCAAGCTTTCAAATCTACCAATCACTTCAGCTAGCTTTTTCTCAAACCTCCTTATTATTATGTAATTATATCTGTATACAGTAAATTATATAAAGAAACTTTTCGGAAATATATAAATATATATTAAATCGCTTTTGCACGTTGTCTATCTGTTAATTTGATTAGTGTTACTTCTCTTTTCAATGTTATTTCAAATTTGATTATTTTTAAAAAATATTGATTTAAAAAATATTAATATTTTATATTATCACATTATAAGCTCTTACATGAATCAACAAATTGTAAGATGCATAACATATTGTACAAGCACCGTTTTCTATCTACATATTGGGTATAATTGAAAAAATTAAGATTTCAAAACATAAAAATAAGGTCAAAAAATTGTACTCAAACTATAATGAAGCTAAATATAATATGAAAGGTAAGAGTTGTTAATGAAAGTTGTCCCATGAGATTTTGTACACATACGACAAAAGAGAAGGACACAGTTACTTATTTGGAGCTGGAAATTCTCTTAGCTATAATTTTTATCGATGACGACAAAAATGACAGCTCTCGACTATAGTGAGACTAAATCTAATGAAATTCTTTCTGCAATATTTTATGCATACATGCGACAAAAGAGAGTTGGTACAAATCGAAAGCTATTTTCACCCTAATTTTTACTAATGGCAACAAAATGACATTTTGTCAAATATAGTGGGGCTAAACCTACTATAAAAGATAAGATCTATTGAAATTTGTATTAACCATAGGATTCCATATATACATATGATAAAAAGAGAATCGACATAATTTTTAGAGTTGAAAATTTGTCTTTATTGTCGTTTTTGTCGTTATCGATACAAAAAATTACAGGATAACAATAAAATTACAATTTCCCAACATTAGTATGGTCAAATCTAATACAAAAGGTAAGACTTATTGAAAATCGTTTCTATGATTCATATTCCACACTTGTGGAATGTATGATACATTAATGAATACATCTTCCTGTGTGTTTGGAAGGGAAGGAAGTGAAAAAGTTTAGAATGGGATGAGTTTATAGATTTTAGCGAAGTAATAATAGGAAGAAAAAAGAAAATCAAATCAAATCATGCTAACTTGATTGTATAATGTGACAATTAATGCGTCAATAACCATTAGGTAACCTAGCTAGAGTCCATAAGTCTAGTTAGTAGTAGTTGTAATGGATTAACATGGGTATGATCATAATTAATACCCAAGTGACCTAAACTAAGCAAGCCCTCAAATGTCATTCGGGCGATGGCAGGGCAGTAGAGGAGGCATGTCAAGATGAGAAATAACCAGAGCCACCTGTTCCCCTGTGGCGCCGGCTTTATTATAAAGAATCTACGTACGGCCTTCTGCAATTTTTTGTTTGTTTTGTATTTTGTATTGGAGAGACACTAAACTGACCGCACAATGAAGCAAGCCCCCACTATCCTTACACGTCATCATCCTCCCAGTACCAACACCTGGAAAAAGCAGGCCTCCTCCTCCCTTCCTTTAATCTTTTCTTTGCTTTGCTAGCTGAGCTCCACAATGCAAAGCATTAACCTTCTCTCTCTCTCTCATCAGCTATATAGCTATGTACGTACAAGATATGATGACCTATCTCTTCATCTCTATCTCTATCTTTTTTTTTCTTTCTTGTAATTTAATTCCATGGTTGATCCACTTTGTGTGTGTTTAAAAAAGGCCAAAGTCGCTAACTGCATCAAACCATCTGTTCGTTTATCTCTTCGAGGCTTTTCTTTTAGTAAGCAAACTATCCCTACCATTTTAGAACTGATATAATACGATCCTTTCTTCCCTTGCTTCAAGACCACCCAGCTGGGTTTAACCAGTCTTTACAGTATAATAATAAATACTTACACCCCCCACACCCACACCCCAACCCCCCTTAGAGCTTTCAGAAGTTACCATCCCCTCCTCCATCCATATCTAATTACGTGGTTACTTTCTGAATCTGATATG